AGTTAGCCTATGATTAGTAGTTCAAAAACCTTTCCAAAGCAGGAGACACTTCTTGTATATCAAAAATGTCTTCATTGTTTCCAATATTACCTAGCAGAATCAAGCCAGGATAATGTATTTAAATTACTCCTTTCCCTCTGTTTATAATTTCTGATTACTGATTAATAATCTGTGCTGAAAGGATTTATGGTTTAAATAGGTCAAACCAGTCCACACAAGATTATTCCTCTAATGCAGAGGTCCTTAATCTGGGACCTGTGAACCAAAAAAAAATTTTAATAACTGTATTTCAATGTAATTGGTTTCCTTTGTTTTCCTGTGCGTTTTATGTCTTTAAAAACATTCTGAGAAGAGGTCTAGAGGCTTCACCAGACTACTAACGGAGATAATGACCAAAAAAAAATAGTTAAGAACCCCAGCTTTTATCTAGGCTACATTTAAAGCAACCAATAAATAATTTTAAAACTAAGAGGAAATGGACCTGATTTAAAGTCTTGAAAAAATAAAGCCAAGGAAACTTTTTTTTTCTTTCTTGTGGTACTATGCAGTAAATTAAAATATATTGCATAGTTAGAATTGGTTTTTTTTTTTAAACATTAGGCCATCTACTTGTTCTGTAAGGCAAAATATTATAAGGTGTACTTATTTGTAAAGTTGGTTTTTGTGTTAATAATATTCATCTAAAGTTTCAAAACCAAATGGATATGACAGATACCTCAGAAAAAAAGGGAAAAGATGACTGGAGAACACTGAATATAGGAGCTATATATAGCCTAGCCTATTAAGCTGTCACCCCTCCCCCCCCCAAAAAAAGGAAAGAAAAGAAATAGAGAAAATTAAGGACTTTGCTGCTATTACTATCTCTTAGAAAAGTTTTATCAGGGCAAAATCACTAAGTGAATAGGCTAAAGAGACAAGAAACGAATTCAACCAACAAAGAAGAAGAGAGACATAGTGGCCACAAGTAGCATTGGTTTAGGGAAGCTTCATTAAGAGAAAAAGAACCTTTAGAAAACTTGCAATGACAACTTGCTAAGCCTGATCAACCTAAGAGCATTGTAGATGAAACTGGAAGGGGGAGGTCAGCCGGCACACTCCAAGTGGAATGGATTTGTGTTCTCTTCTTTGTATCTTAGTTATGTGTGCATATGCCTTTTCCTGCCTGTCAGATTATAAACTCTTTGAAATCCGGGTTATGTTACATATAACTAACTTTGTATATCCCAGGGTTAAAGAGTGCTTTGTTCACATTAGACACTTAATAAATGTTTGTTAACTGAGTGAATCAATGAATAGTGGAACATTTGGAGGCTACCACCTATATATCCAGTATGTTTATTTATATGAGAAAGTGGCAGTAGCCCTTAAGAATGTGAAGTTAGTAAGAGTGAACTTGACCTAACAAAGTGCATGTAGAAGAAATAAGTGCTGAAGGTGATTGAATTTTAAGGATTGATTTTTCAAGAAATCACAGAAAGGACAAATTTTAAGAGAATAGGAAAAAAAATACAATTAGGTTATTTGTTTGCTAAAGAAAGGTAACAAAAGATATAAGCAACATACCTGCTTTTTCATCCATATCAATGCTTTATGAAAAGAGATAATTTAATGTACTGGATAAGACACTAGCTTTGAAGTCAGAAGACCTCAGTTTGAATCTTTTCTCAGATACTACTGAGTGATCATGGACACCTTAAGCCTCAGTTTCCTCATTTGTAAAATGCAGTACCTACTTCACAGGTTAGGACAGCCCTCTATAATAAATCTTAAAGCACTATATAAAGGAGTTGGAGTTATTTTTATTATGCACATATTTAGGTGTCTTGATGGAGACATGAAAAGAGAACAAGATAACTTTTGCAAGTGATTTTCTGCCACAGACTATATATGGTTATATAGCAGCCCATGTGGTGTGTGGAATTTTAGACCAGGGAAGGGTGGTTTACAGCATTGGTCTCCAAAGTAGGGGCAGTGGCATACTTAAACATTTTCAGGATGCCTCAGATACATTATCTTAGTTGATCCTTATAACAATCTTGAGAGTTAAGGACTATTATTATTCCCATTTTACAGATAAGAGAGGTTAGCTAGTGTCACATAATTTTTAAGTATCAGGAGGCAGAATTTTAAAAGTAAGAGATGATGGTTGTTGTTGTTTATCCTTCATTTTCTCTCTTTTCTTTCTTCTTTTTTTTTTTTTTTTTTGGTGAGGCAATTGGAGTTAAGTGACTTGCCCAGAGTCACACAGCTAGTGAGTGTTAAGTGTCTGAGACCAGATTTGAACTCAGGTCCTCCTGACTCCAGGGCTGGTGCTGTATTCACTGCCCCACCTAGCTGCCCTTGTCTTTCATTCTCAAAGAGGACTATGACATCAGGGAGGTGATGCCATGACATTCAAATGAATTGCATTTAAGTGAGGGAGGGCTATGTAAAGACACTAGCCTCACTTTCTCCTCTAGGGCCATCTGGGCCCAGTGGCAAAATATAGATCAGGATGACTGAAGATGGCCCTCCAACAGGATGGTGTAACCAGATTGTGTGTACCTCAGAAGAGAAAAAGGTTGTTGAAAAATGTCGATTTCGTGAGGTATGGGACAATTGTAGATGTGCTGTCCCCATGAAACCTCCTCATTTTCCTCTTTCCATCCCCTGAAAGCTCTAGATTGTGAACGTGGCCTGGTCTTTTACCCACACCGTCCAGTCCTGACAGCCCCATTTGTGTGTTTCACAGAGGTCAGTCATGTAAGATCAGGTACTAGCTATCTGTTTAGGTTCCTCAGGATCCATGGCAGACTTTCTTTTATAAAACTAGTGTATGAAGGGCTAGTGGATTTGTTTTTATAGCTTGGATTAAAATCAGTCCTCATCTCTTTTATTTTGTTTTGGTTTTTATGAAGACTAAGTCTCCCTATCTCATCTAAGTGGAGGTGCAGGGGCTATTCCTAGACTGATCTCACTCTTGATTGGCACTGGAGTTTGACCTGCCCCATTTCCAGCCTCAACTGGTTTGCCTCTTCTTAGGCAACCTGATCATTGCTTGTTCCCAGGGGCTTACTATAGTAGTGCTGGACATAATGTAGACCCTTGATCAGCAATAGCTCTCTGAAGTTCAGGATTCCTGAACTTGAGATCCACCAGCCTCACCCCACTGATGGCTGGGATTGCAGGTGTGTGCCCTCATGTCTAAATCCCAATCTTTTAAATGCTAGTAGAGATTGGGTTGTGGCTTTTCTGGTGAGTTTATTCTAGAAAACTCACCTTTGAGAGCGGTTTCATTCCAGTTCAAGGCCCAGAATATTTTACTGTAGTCAACTACTTACTCCCACCCTAGCACCCACCCCAATTGATTGGTGACCAAACACGTGCAAACCAGCCTGCTTAGCCTCCTCTCTAGTTTCTCACCCCATCCAGTCATCTCATCATGCACCTGCCCACGCACAAGGATACATAAATCCTCACTTCCGCTTTGTACCTCCCCAGAGCAAAATTCCCTTCCTTCATCATGCCACATATGTTGTCTTCCCTTAGTAGTGTCAACCTGATTAGTAAAAAAAAGTGAACATTTATTCATGGTTGAGGAATTGCAATTAGGGACAACAGGCCACCTTTTCAGATAGGGATGTCCAGAGAGAGAGGGGAGAAAGGGGATTCTTAGAGGGTTTAGTTGTGGGAAACAGGAGGAATTATAGCCAGAATATGTAGAACAACCAAACTGCAGGTGGGAGTGTTGAAGTGTCCTTGCAGTTATCTCTGTGCAGGAACAGAGGCAAGTAGAAACTGCAGAGGTATGTGGGAGTCTTCTGGGGGGCAGTTAGAAACTGCAGGTCAGAGCAGATGACCTTGGCAGGGGAGGAATGTTAGAAACTGCTAATTAGAACAGAGTAGGGGCCTAGAGATTCCCAAGGGGTTGACAGTAGAATGGAAGCTCCTTGAAGGCAGGAGGCCAATTTTTAAATATTTGACCTTAGTACAGAGCCTGGCACGGAGCAAGTACTTAATAAATGCTTTTTCACTTATTTGTTATTCTGGAGTTCAACTATGAGTCTCTACATCCTCCAGTGAACTCGGGCTTGGGCAAGGAGGTAAAGGCTCCAAATAACCAATTTAGGAGCTTGTAGAATGTGATCTTTTCATTGTTTGCTGCTGTTTGTCCTTCCCTCTGGAAGAGGACCGTGACATCAGGGAGGTGATCCCATGACATGCAAATGAATTGGATTTAAGTGAGGGAGGGCTGTGCAAAGTCACCAGCCTCACTTTTCTCCTCTGGAGCCATCTGGGTCCAGGGGCAAGATATAGGTCAGGACACAATGGGGGACCTTGGCCTTTTCAAGCTAAGGTCTTTAACAGGTCTCAGTTTGACTTAGGCAATGCCCATTCAGTGATTAAGGCTTAATAAATGAGACAAAGAAAGGCCTCTTTAAGAAATAAAAAAATTAAAAAAAAAAAGATGGGAGGAGAACACCCTCAGGGTTTCTGTTCAAAACAGAAACAATTGCTATTTACATCCATTCTGAGCCAATCAGGGCCCAAACAATGACCAAGTAGGGCTTGGCCTGGGACCTACTGTTGGCCAATCAGTGAGAGCCAGAGTGATTTAGGGGCAAGGCTGGTCTTGAAGAAAAAAAAAAGAAGAAAAAAGTTTCAGAGATCAAAATTTACATTCTCTTTGGGCAGAGCCCCTGCAGGTAAGGATGTGATACCCTATGTGGTTTCTCTCTCTCTCTCTCTCTCTCTCTCTCTCTCTCTCTCTCTCTCTCTCCTCTCTCCTCTGCCAGGTTTTCTTTGTTTTTTTCTAATGAAGTTGGTAAAATGTCATGAGAAGCAGGCATGGCTTGCTTTTTTAAGAACCTGTTATTTCTACAACTGTCATAATGTACTGTATCAAAAAGCCTTTTGTCAGCATGAGCATCATTACTTTTCCAGTTCTAGACATTTAAAATATTTAAATTCCAGGAATTTCAAATTCCTACTTAAAAGAATAGGATTTTTTTTTCTCCTAGGATGATTTTGATACTGACATTTCTATGGTGGATGAGCAAAGCCTTCATGAGAATAGGAGCTATGAGGACTTAGTGAGCACTTCAGAAATCTGTGACTCCAATCAAGAGTATTACAGGAAACTTGAAGAGCTGAAGGCAGCCCACATGAAAGCTATGGCAAAATTGGAGAAACTGTATCAAAATAAATTACATTTAAAGGGAGTGCAGCCAGAGACCACAAAGGAAGAAATGCCTGGCGCGTGTTTTAAGTAAGTTTGTTTCTAACTCTTCCCTCTACATTGTCTTGGATTTAATCTCAGAAATGATATGTTGTACAGAACAAATAAATGGTTCAAAATATTTTAAGAGTATTTTTCTGTCACATATGTATATGTTATATACACTTAATGATACAGGTATAAATGTTTACTAGAAGATTGTTTTGTTTGCTTTTTAACACATGTTCATCCAGTGGTCATAGTCTTCTCTGTAGCCAGTGGTATGTAGAAATAATTTGCATTTCTGTACAATATAGACCATTTTAATCATCTATGATAATATATAATTTTAAAGGCCCTACATAATATGTAAATTAATAGGCTCCCTGAATTATGAGTCAGCATTCTAGCCATCTAGCCACCTGCCGCAGGCCAAAGGATTTTCTCTACATACAAAGGATTGGCATGCCAAGTGGAGTGGGGCAAGAGGCTGGAGGGCCATAAGCGGCCTGTGGGCTGCAGGTTGTGCAGGCCTGCCTAAAGTAGCCCCAAGTTCTGGTTCCAGCTCCCATATGGAGAGACTGGAGGGACAGTGCTGTTTAGTAGAAAGAGCACTGGCTGTGCTTAGGCTTGGTTCTGTCTCTGACACCATGTATCAGTGCAGAAGACCAAGTTCTTCCAAGATTCACATAAGAAAGAATTATTTGACCCACTTACCACCAAGGTTGAATCATTTAATGGAAATAGTAGAGAAAAGATACACAGTTACTCCAGTCCTGTCAGCCAGGGAGCTGCCCAAAGATGCTTGATCTTAAGAGTGTGAAGCAGGTTTATTCAAATTGGTGGGAAAGGGAGGGTGCTCACACCTTTTGGGTCAGAGGTCAGGATTGGGTAGCATCCCCCACCTGTACCCCTTTATTGCCTACCCTCTTTTAGTCTCACAGAGGAATACTTGATTCATAATTTGGGTGTGATTCCATGATATAGTGCCTTGAATATAGAGAGCATTAAATAGCTGTGTGTTGAACTGAATTGAATGGGGATTTAAACTGGTAGCTCTGAGAAGGAAGTGTGATGAAATGGGATTGACCTCATGCCTTGGCAGCATCAGTAAGTCCTGATCATTTGTAGGCATTATTCAGCCTCAATCATAAATTATATGCACTTGTACTAATTCCATATTAAAGACAAATCCAATCATATACACACACACATATGGGAATATACACGAATACATGCATGTACACTTTTTATAGAAATAGAGAGCAGTTAATTGTAGAGCAGACTGGGCATGTTTATAAGAGGATATATGGCTGTTTCTACAACATACCACAGAGGAAAAAAAGCAAAAATAAGTCTTTCATCATTCCAAGTGAAGACTTACTGATCAGTCCTTCCTCAGGCACCAGGAAATGTATCCATGGTCTAAGGACATGACAGCCCAACAAGAGTCTCCAAGTTTTAAGATGTGCTCTACATACCACAGACACTAGCTATTGTGACTGTGGGCAAGTCAGTCAAATAAACATTCATTAAGCATCTACTGTGTGCTGGGAACTATATTAACACTGGAAAGTTGATAAAGCACTTCACTAGTCTGAGCCCTAATTTCTTCATTTGTGAAATAGGGACAACAGTTCTTAGCCTGCCTACCTCACAGGAACATTGTGAGAAAAGGGCTTTGTAAATCGAAAAGTTCTGTGGAATGTGAATTATCATCTGATTCCCTTCAGCTCTGACCCTCAGTTTTCCTCTTCTGTAAAATGGACTGAGACTGTGATTTTTACAGTCTCTTCTAAGTTTGTTGTAATTTCATCTTCTCATGCTGTTTCAGTCATGGTTGACTTACTACCCAGTGATCTTACAATCTGTTGTGGTTTCCTGTATCTGGTCACAATGTAACACATTGCTTTTTCCTTAGCTCAGTATGGATCAGCTCCTCCTATCAACCTGCCATTTTGCAAAAATCATTTTCTGAGCCTGATTTGAATCAACCTTCTTCCATTAGTGTATCAGATATGTCTGAAACTGGATTTTCCAATATAGAAAGAGAAAATATGAATGCAGTCAAAATGATGACTTCTGCTAAAGAATACATCAAGAATATGTGGAACAATTTTTCTGTGAAGGACTATGCTTATACTCACTCTGACAGTTCTGATTCACCAATAGTTGAAAAGTCAGAGAAGAAACCAAAGGAGTGGGTGCCAAAGATTACAGTGCCTAAGCCCTTTCAAATGACCATCCGAGAAGACAGGAAAAAAGAAGAGTGGCTCAAGGCTCAGTCAGAGAGAGAGATGGCCTTTAAACTGCTGAAGAAGCAAGAAGAAGAAGAACTAGCTCGGAAAAAAAGGTTCCGAGCCAATCCTGTGCCTGAGTCTGTCTTCCGTCCCCTTTATCATGAAATACTAGAGCGGGATGAAGAAAGGAAAAAGAGCGTGAAGGAGAGAAGCAGAAAAATCCTTCTGACCTCCCAGAGGCCTTTTACGTTTATTGCAAGGGAAGAGCGGAAGAAAGAGGCCCGGAAGGTACAGCTGGCTGACGCACTGGAGCCTGAAAAGAGGAAGAATCAGTTTAAAGCCAAACCGGTCCCCAGGTCCACCTACAGCTCAACTCTCAGCGACAGACTAAAGGAGGAGGAGTTCTTCAGAGACATTAGGATACACGTGAGAGCGCAGGAGCTCTTACGGAACTCGTCACTGCCCAGAAACATGAAAGCTCACCAGTCCCCCTCCAAAAGGAAGCCAAAGCACCCAGAGCAGGGTGAGAAGACCAGGTACAGGAACAGGGTCAAGTACCAGGTGCCTGACTTCAGAACCCTCCACACCAAGTTTCAGAAGCAGCTCTTGGAGCAGAAGAATCCCAGGCCCACCACAGTCTGTGAGCCGTTTGATCTCCTAACTTTGCGAATCCCATCCAAAAAGGAGAAAATTTTGGAAGACATTCAAGCCGATGAAGAACGTTTAAAAGAAACACGCTGGCCCTATCTATCTCCTCGTGGAAAAGTACGGGCAAGGCGCTCAAAGACCAAGTATCCCTTTTGTGAATCAAGTGAATCAGAATCTCCCAGACCTACTGTGTCTTCAAGAAGGAGACAGCAAGCCATCAGGTAACTCAGCACACCCCTAATTCAGATGCAGGGCTCACTAATCAGTGATTGATGAATGGCTACTAATAGTGCAAGGGAAAATACTTTATTTTGGTCAACTGAAAGAAATTACTGTCTGGATTAAATTGTATGGTAAAATTCTGTGGGTGTCACAGGGTGGGCAGGTATGAATGGGCTGTGCTCTGCATTGGTAGGAGTGCCCACTGATCCACTGGAGTATGGCAAAGTATTTTTCCCAAATAATACATCTTCTGTCCTAGGGCTCTCCAGGGTGAAAAGGTCTGTAATCCAACAGCCTAATGTTCTCCTGTTTTTTAAAGTCTGTTCACTCACAAAAGGAACAAATGGTCAAGTTACTTGGTTTACTTCATCTCAGTCTACCACAACCTGTTTTTCTCCTTTAGTTTATCCTATGTAGATTCCTTTTTTAGAAACTATTCTTAATGGCTTAAAATGAATTCAGCCTTAGTTTATTTTGCCCTCAGGACATCCCTTGAGGAAAAGAAAACATTAGAAGAGGACCAGAAACGGAATCTAGCTATGCAGAGTCAAAGAATGAGAGAATTGCAAAAACTCCTGATGGCCCGAGCTCGGGCCATTGACACACACCAAAGTTTAGCTCAGATGTCTAAATCCAGAATGACAACACTCAGGTATCATTTAAGGAATCTTGAAATACTAGCTGAACATTTTTATGTTAATAAAATAATAAAATGTTTATGTGTGAAGAGCCAAATGTCTCCTCCCCAAAACCAGGAGAGGAATGGAGCCTAACATTTTAAAAAATGATGTTTATGAACCAAATAGTAATTTGTTTTAATCAATTGCAACATATATTCCTTTGAAGAAAATTAAGTTTTTAAAAAATTATCAACATTAGTATAAGGGAGTGATCTGCTACTAAGTCACCTCAAGTATTTAGAAAGTGGGAAGTGGGTTAGATTCTTTCAGGGCACCAAGTGTCAGCAGAGTTGTTATTCTGAACATAGTTCACTGTGATTATCATTTAGGATGATAATGGTTACATAGTGTTTATCTCTGGGCCCACACATTAGTTTCTTTCTCTTTTTTGAAGGAGAAGAGAGGGGTTTAGACTTAGGATTCCGGTAGTCTAAGCAGCTCCCTGGAAAGAAATTCCCTCCATCAATGCAGATTGGCCACTGTTCTGCCACCTGGAGGGTTTAAGTTGTTGCCTGGGGACACAGAGACCAAACAAGACACAGAGACCAAACAAAACCGTGTGTGTGTGTATGTGTGTGTGTGTGTGTGTGTGTGTGTGTGTGTGTGTGTAGGTGTGTGGGTATATATATATAAATATTTAACATTTTTATATTTTATATCCATATATAAATGTATATGAGTATATGTAAAATATATACCTGTCCACATACACACACACACATAAATACACTCTTTCTCTCTCTCTCTTTTTTTTTTATCTCCTAATGGCATCTATACAGGATGTCCCAGAAGGCTTAATACAGTCTTAAACTTTAGTAACTTCAGAAGTATAAATGCTACAAACTTTAAAAAACAACAGTCAAAAGGTTAAGTATTTTAAAATTTTAAAATATTGGTTTGTTTCTTGTTAAAATTAAACATAAAGGGGCAGCTAGGTGGTGCAGTAGATAGAGCACCAGCCCTGCATTCAGGAGAACCTGAGTTCAAATCCAGCCTCAGACACATAACTCTTACTAGCTGTGTGACCCTGGGCAAGTCACTTAACCCCATTGCCTAGCTTAAAAAAAATTTAAAAATTAAAAAAAAAAACAAAAAACAAAAAATAAAATTACATAACTACTATCTTGTGTTCTGTATTGCCCTGGCCAGTTTTCAAACATTGTAAAAACTTTCTTCAACTGCTACATCAGTGACTGAAAGTATAGCATTTGTAATCCTAACCTTAAGATCATCCAAAAAAGGAGGTTTTGATAGATACATGACAATTTTGATATGACCTAGAAGAAAAACTCTAATGGAGATAGATCAGGTGGCTTAGCAAGAGGACATCTTTGGCCAATCCACTGTCTGAAAAGGGGTTGTCTAGAAACTGTCACATGTGTAGTGCATAGTTCCAGGGTGTCCAGTCTTGTTCAAATTAAAAATTTGTTATTCAAAATGTATCAAATTAAGTAAATATAAAAGAAATTTAATTAAATTTCAAGTGATTATTTTTTGTAAGTTTGTAACATTTATACTTCTGAAGTTATTAAAACTTAAAACTACAGTGAGACTATTAGGACATGTGTGTGTGTGTCTAGACACATATGGATGTGTATATATTTATGGAATTCTGTCACAAGAAATCTTAAGCTCGTTTATTTTCAGATTTGCCTACATGAGAGAAAGTATTCATTTCTCTAACCTAAGATTCATCCCTAAAGGTTGGTACGTAGAAGATAGATATGAAGCAATGTGGCATGGGAAATAGATATCAGGCCTTAACTTAGGAATGACCTGATTCAAGTTCCCATTCCTGACCCATCCTGGCTTTGTGATTCTGGGCAATACACTTTCTCTAAAACTATAACTTGCAAAACAGTGGCCAATGAGGATGGGGAGAAAGAGGATTTCCTCACTGGCAGCTCTCTACACGATTGAGATCACAAGTCTATACAATAAATATATAAAGTGTCCCAAAAGTTTTAGGTGACTTGAATAGAGGTGTGTGCATATAGAGGTATAATATGTGTGTGTGTATCTGCCAGCTATTAAATGGATGGTTTGCACATAAATTAGCTAGTAAAGTATATAGTCACCTCTTCAGGCCAGGTCCTATTTACTAACTACTAATTAGCAACAATTGTACTAGCAACCAGTATATTCCCAATGAATAGACAGATTCTGCCAGTACATTTTCTGTCTGACTTAAGCACCACAAGAAACCTTGACTAAGGAAAGGGAATCTGGTAAGCTATTTCATACATGATTTATTTTTAAAAGTTGTCTTAGGAAAAGCTACTTATTCTGTGTGATTCTTATTTTGAGCATAACTTTTAAAAACTAAATTTCTTCTTTTGTATTACTTCAATGATAGAAAGAATGAGAAGGAAAGGATGAAAGAGTACCTAGAAGAACTAGAAGAAATAGAAAAGAGGCTGCAGAAGAAGCCATTACTGCTTGAAAGAGTTGCTCAGGTTGTGTGGACTGGCACTTAGTTCTTTAGTTTTGCTTTGTTTTTTTGCTCTTATGTTTTCAACTCCCAACTTTCCCTTTAAGAAGCATTTATGACAAATGCATCAAATTAACCAAATAGTTTTGCTTAAACTTCTGAGATCTTAGCTATGTCAATGACACATTTGAGTCTGTATAGAATATGAAGTGTTTTCTATATTAAATATTCCTAATCTTTTTCACAGAAACATTTTAGTCACTGACTAAAAATAGTGGTTATTTGCATTTTTCAGAACTGACTTAATTAGATCTTAGGGTAAAACTTTTCTTTAATTTTGAATGGTGAAAAGATTTTTAGGGGTTTCATAACTTTAAAAAAAAACACCAAGAATCATTAGTGTGGCATGAGAATCACATTTCATGACACCAATTAAAATAATTTAAGTTGTAAGAACATTTTTTCAAAACTATAATTTTCTTTAAATGGCATCTTCATAACACACACACACACACAAAATTGTTATGGTAACCTGAGACTAAGTACTTTTCACAGCTCACAATTCCTGTTAAATCATCTTCTTACCTGCCCCCAAAATGGGATATGTGTAAGTGGTTTGGCTTTAAACAAATAACCCCCACCCAAAAGGGAAGAGGTACTGCTAACAACATACATTTTAAGCCACAAATCATAGAGAATTAGGATTATAAACTCAAAGAGTTAGGGCTGGAAAAGCTCTTAGAAAAGTCAAGCCTCCAAGTGACAGCTGTGTCTGTCTAGAGATGTGGCCACATAAGCTTAGTAATACCATAATATATGTCTTCAAGAGACAAATAGTTGTATCTTATCAGAGAGGGGTGTGTATACTGATCACAGTCTACTTCCAAATCCACATAGGATCATAGTGTCATACTCTCTTGTTAAAGGATGTGAATGTAGGTTTTATATGCTGGTTTCAGCATAATGTCATATGTTATATTTTATGTCATACCTCTAGGTATGAATTTTTTTATGTCAGTTTTAGATTCAGACAGAGCCCATGTTTTAAACTGTGTGTTTGCAGTGCAAAATAATCTAATCATTATGTGATTAATGTGACCAGTGTAGTTGTCTGAACAGGATAATAAAGTAAAAAATTCACTGTGGAGACTGAATTATACAGTTCTCTGGTCTGTTGATCAGATTAACTAGATTGTGATTTTCTCTTCTCTGTTCTGTACTGCAAAGGCATAGTCAGAGCCTGTTTCCACTTCATCACTGGTGAACTCTAGTGTTAGTAAGCATTTACAGCATTCTATGAATTCTCATTCCTTAAATTGTTTATAAGTCTCAAGTCTTAGGAAGTATTTTGCAAATGTGCAGAGAAGCAAGGAATAAATGGATATTTTAAAATAGGGAAAATAAATGTGCAAAATTAAAGTTTAAAAGAAAATTTTACTTGTTAGAGAACCTTAATTATTTTTACTCTATCTGATGCTTCTCTCTTCACTTAATTTTATGAAATCTCTTTTTTTAAGTTCTAATATAGTAAGTGAACACTTCATTTTCAAGCTAGGTCTCTGATTATAGAGAAGTTTTTATTTTAGCTTACTATTTTTTCTTACTTCTCAGGAAAAACACCTGTTCATTATCAATTAAGATATAGTTCCTTAAATTTTGAACATTACTATTAGCATTTATTTATGAACAATGGAAAAAGATGAAGAGGAAATCTGTGAGCCAGTTGTTAAAAGTCATTGAAGAAAAGGGAAATATCCTGGAAGGAAGTAGATTACAGTGATAAGGATGGGGAGAAGATGGTAAAAATCAGATGTCATAGTCTTAGTATGTAGCACAGTACCTGGCACATAGTAGATATTTAATAAATGCTTTTTAACTGGCTTAAAAGAAGAGAAGTTGACTAGTGATGTCAAAGACAAGGTAAGGAGGTAGAAGGGGCAGAAACAGCACAGAACAGGAAATTTACAGGCTCTTCCTTGGAGTGGGGAAAAGGAATGGTCACTGGCAAGGGTGGCTAGAGATAGTGATCTCAGGAAAGTAAGGTCAGTGGCAGAGGAAACAGAAGTGATTTTATTATTAGCATATCCTACATTACCACCTGAGTGGAAAGAAGAAAACAGATGAGGAGCTGGGAAAGAGATCACAGTTCTGGCGTAATAGAGTCATGATTGATCAGCAGTGGAGGAATTTAGTAATTCACTTACACAGACATCCGTTGGAGTTCTCTCTTTGCCAAAAGCAAAACATTTAATATCTTCTTGCCTTAGTGATAATTTCAGCCTTCAAAAGGTGGAGAAATGAGAAAGGGGAAATTTTTTTTCTCACTAACAAGAAAGAATTGGTTGCTGTGACTTCTCTTCTCTAGTTTGTGTTGGAGGAGAGGAAATCAGAGCATATTCTGACACACTCCCTAGCTTTATGAAAGCACCCATCAGAGGGTGCACAGGAAAGAGAGGCAGGATCTCATGGATCAAAATGCTCTAGGGGAGTCAGTCCAGGAAGGATGGAAGATGCTAAGGAATGTTTGAAGGCCCAAAAGCAAAAAATTCCAGTGAGAGAAGGGAAGGGAAGAAGGGATTTGTTTGAAGTAACTGATAAGTGAAGCAAATGCTTAGAGAACTCACCCACCAACTTAGATTTGAAAAGAAATGTACAGAAAATGGAAGTAAGGTCATGTAAAAAGTTGACTTAAGACACATGGCATGGTCCTGTAAAAATACCATCAGTAATGCTAAAGCTCAGAAAGATCTGAGTTTGACAGTGGGGGAAACTAAGGACAACAGAAAGGAGTTTTTCCCAGTTATATTGGGAGAAAAAGGGGAATCAAAGAAGAAATCAGACCTTTGCTTTGGATGGATGGGACATTGGAGCCTGATAATAGAGAAGACAATTGCTCAATACTGGCTCTGTTTCTGTTTTCCCTGCAAGGGAAAATAACTTTTACAATGGAAATGACAAAAAAAAAAAGATTAATAGGGAGATGATACCCAAGATAAGTAAGGAGCTAATAAGAGCATACCTAGCTGCCCTTGATGAATTCAAGTCATCTGGCTAAGGTTTTGAAAAGAAGTGGTTTATGTGATTGCTGAGACACTGTCAGTGATATTGGAAAGCTCATGGAATACCACAAGAATGGAAAAAAGCAAATGAAGTCCTGATTTTCAAAAAAGGGAAGAGAACAGAGTCTGCCAACAACGATTTGACTTCAGTTCTTGGTAATGTTTTAGAATAGTTCCATAAAGAGATGATTAGTAAACATCTATAAAGAGGGGTAATTACCAAGAGGTAGCCTGGCTTCATCAAGAACAGATCATACTAGACTGACCTCATTTCCTTTTTTGACAGGATTAATAAACAAGTAGATGAGGTACATGCTGTACACATAATTTACCTAGATTTTAGCAAAGCTCATATTCTTCTTGTGGAAAAGAGAGAGAGATCTGGTAATTAGACAATAATATGATCAGATGAATTCAACATGGTGTGACGTCAGCTTGGCTAGAGGTTTTCAATAGAGTGTCCCAGAGATTGTATCTTGGCTCTATATAACATTTTTGTCAGGGACCTGGTATGTAAGGGCATTTATTGTATGATCATCCCATCTGCAAATGACTGAAAGCTGGCTAGAAGAGATTGCTAACAGATTGGATGACAGAGTCAGGATCCAAAAAGATCTTGAAACAGCAATTCTCAAACTTTTTTGTCTCAGGACCCCTTTATTTTCTTAAAAATTATTGAGAACTCCGCAAAGAGCATTTATGTGAGTTATATCTAGCCATTTTTCCCACATTAAAAACAGAATTCTTGGTATTATCATGAAGATAGTTTTGATCTCGAGGGTCCCTGGGCCACACTTTAAGAACTGTTGGGTTAAAGCCTTGGGCTAACCTAATAAGATGTAATTGAATGAGGATAAATGTAAAAGTCTTGCACGTGGGTATAGAAAATCAACTTCACAAGTACAGGATGAGAGAGGTATGGTTAGGTGGTAGTTCTGAAAAAAGATCTGAGGGTTTTAGTGGACTGCAAGCTCAGAGCAGGATTCAGCAGTGTGATCTGACAGCCCAGAAAGCTAATGAACCCAAAAAGGTTGCATGAAGAGGGCATAATTTCCAGGAATAGGGAGGTGATCATCTCCCAGTACTTTGCCTTTACCAGAGCTCAGCTAAGTATTGTGTTCAGTTTTGGGCACGACAGATTGAGGACAGCAATAACTTGGAGAACATTCAAGGAGGACAAGCAGGAAGGCGCAGAACCTTGAGTCCACGCCATGTGTTTAACCTGGAGAAAACGACTCAGGAGGAACATGATAGCTGTCCTCAACCATTTATAGAAGGCCCTTCACCTGGAGGAGTGATTAAACCAGAGTGGTGGGTGAAAGCTGCCGATGCCAATTTGGCCTTGATGTTAGTAAAACAACTTCCCCATTGGGATGAGCGCATGTGGAGGGAGCGGGCTCCCCCTCCCTGGAGTACTCCAGGCAGAGGCTGCACAGCCATTTGTGGGGTGTGTGAGACTGAGGGATTCCTTTTGTTTGCGGATTGAACAAGAGGGCCTCACAGGCTTTTTCTGGTGCTCAGATTCTGTGAAGCAGAGCAAGTTGAAAGAAAGGTTTGAGGGTCCTGTGAGTCATAAGTGAGGGAATGGAAAGTTGGAGGTGTCCAGGGGATGTTGAACCTCAGAATCATGTCATATAAGAATCACTTGAAGGAATTGGAGGTATTTAGCCTAGAGAAGGGAAGATTTAAGGGAAACATGGAAGACGTGTTACATTTGTTCAGCCTGGCCAGAACTCAGAGCAGAGGTTGCAGGAAGAAATGAAGTTAGTTATTTATTAAGGGGGAAAAATGGCATGTGGGCTATGAGGAGAATCCCCTCTGATGCTTCTCTTTTCTGGTATTTCCCAAGAGACGTTGGACTTTGTAGTTTATGGCCACTCACCGTTCCAAGGGGTCCTTGATCACGAGAAATAGAACACTGGCTATTCAAACTAGCAGAACTACTAGGCTTTCAGTCATTATTGGATGGCTTCAGATTCCCTTCCCAGGGAGGTTATTTGGCACTGTGTATCATAGCTTTTCTCCATTCCCAGGCTAGTTCAGGGAGTCAACTCCAAGTGGTTATGCCGCCCTGCCCTGCCCCTCCCCTCCCCTCCTCCTTGGGCAGCCTAGTCCACTTTGAGGTAGCTCTGATTATTGAAGAGGCCTTTGTTAACATCAAGGAATTGACTTGGACTGGCTCTTCCTGAAAAATGGGGAAGGCTTGTTAATGTGACCAGGCCAATTCTAGAGCATTCAGGGTTTCATGCTCACTCATGGGAACCTCTACCAAATCCAAGCATCCTGTGACGTGTTTCCAAGTGTTTCAAAGCCCCTGTAAGAAAGCCACGCCACTAATGTAGTACAAATGAGAAAGCAGCTCAAAACTAGACTAGCCTTAGATCCCTGTTAGCTGTATGATCCTGGGACAGCACCTAGCTTCTCTGTGCTCCGGTTTCTTATCGATAAAATGAGGGAGGCAGGTTCCCAAAGGGAGGGTTACAGGTCCTTTGAGCTCTAAATCTATCACTGTGACTCCCAGGCAGCCCAGGGGTTCCCAAACCTGTGGCCCCGGGATCCTAGGAGGCTTCAAAACTTGTCCAAGATTCACCAAAGGTAATCTTGCAGTCACCACAGCTGACACCACAGAGCATTAGAAACTTCTGATGGGACCTAGAAATGGCATGTTGCCTATTTTAATAAGCATTGTGTATATCTACAAACCATCAACTGAGAGAGGGGCATGGAATTAAAGACTTGAGTTCTTTACAAGTTGAAATACAGTTGTTTTTCCAAAGGTAACTGCAGTAATTGTTAGCTTGTTTACGAGCCAAAGGCTATGGTCATATACATGGTAACAGCTGCAATAATTACAGTAAAATTACAGTAAAAAAAAGTTCCCCATAGATCTGTGGTAGATACCAATGGAATTTATTTTCAGAGGAGTTTCTAACCACCTTCCTGATAAGTAATAGTGCTTTAACTTAAGGAAGTTTGCTTTCCTAAGACATTTGTTGTTAACTAATTAACAAAGGTATTTTTTTTCTTTTAGAAAAATGCAAGAATATCAGCAGAAAAGTGTTATTCTAACACCTTAAGAGGACTAGGACTTTGTGATGAGTTTGTGTCAAAGAAAGGCCAAAATGCGGAGTACTTGACAAACCAAGAGATTGAAAACTGCTCTGAAGATGAAGTGAGGTAGTACACACACAAGTTCTTAACGGTTTGCACTTCAAGAGGTCTTAATCTTAAACTTTTTTGTTTTTTATATAACATTTTAGGGTTTACAAAGCACTTTACCTACATTAAATCATTTGTTCCTCACAACTGTCTTGTGAGGAGTTGGTGTCATTGTCCCCATTTTTTGAGGAAACTAAAGCACAGAGGGGTTAATTAAGTAAATGACTTGCTTAGAGTCTCCCAGCTCTTAAGTGTCTAATGTGGAATTTGGACCAAGGTCTTCCTGACTCCAGAAGCGATTCTCTGTATGCATGATAGCACATGGCAGAAGAACTTGTTTCTGACTCCTAGAAAATGTAATGATAGCATAAATATGGCACTTTTATTTGTGGGGTTTTTTTTAACATGGTGCTTTTTAAAAGTAAAGCCTTAATAATGAACAACAAAATCATTGACATAGAACATTTCTAAGATCAAAATGTAATTTTTCCAGCAGTCAGTGTGTCTACAAAATTTTCTGGTAAGGCATCAATATCATGAAGTTGAGGAAGACATAGAATTACATAATAGGAGAATATGCATGAGGATTTGTTTACCTTGTAATTTTTCCTTTGGATGATTAGCAAATGAGATCCTTTTTATCTTATTTATTTTTCCCCCTGTCTTAGCTTTGATGAAGACAAATTAGGAGAACACTGGAGAGAAAATGATCAGGAAGACTTTGTCAGCTGAGATGTTCTCAATCAAGACAATAAAAATCATGGAGATAGTTCAGACGAAAACTCCACATTGTTGGAGAGGAAAGTGGGAAGAAGGAAAGCTTTTTAAAAGTACCATATTTCTGTTGGTTATAGCCAACAACTAACTGGCTTGTGTTAAGTACATCCTTGGAGACACATTTTTCAAATACAGGTCTGCTGCAGTCTGGAAAATGATGGATTTCTGTATACATTTTTTTTTTTATCCCAAATCATTGCACATACATGCGTTGTTAAGTAAATCATGTACACACCTCTTTCAAAGAAATGTAAAGAAATTTTTTAAAAATTGTGTTAATATTCAATTATGTCTTCAGCATTGTTTTTTTTCTTTGCACTCACCATTGATTATATGTGAATAAGCATTTGTAGTACATATAAAAAAGTTCTTAAAAGCATGATGTGGCAAGACATTTTAATTTCTAAATATATCATTCTTATAGTGGAAAAACCTATGAAGGTTCTAGTAATATCAGTGAGATCTCCCAACTAGTAGTTCACAGATGTGTTTTAATTAAGAAAATTGTTTCTTTAACAAAGGGAAATGTTGAAATTGAAATTCCATTGAAAAATATTGAAATTCCTTTCCACATTGCATTAAACTACCAACCACCATGGTTTTTTTTTCCCCAGTAAATCCCAAGTATTATTAAGCATTAACTATTTTTGATAAATATATTTTTATTATGCTTATATCTTCAATAATATGAGCAAGGACTATGAAACAGATGTGAATAGAAATGTTAGCCCTAATTATCAAGAACTGAGCTTTAGTGTAATATCAAGACGGTATTGTGAAAAACTGAACCCATTGGATTTTTTTTCTTTTACCTTTCACAGCTATGACTCAAGAATGAATTCTTTATTAAAGTTGCTGTTGTTCATTTTATTTTACAATTGATAGACATTTATTTTTCTTTTCTACCCCCAATTTAAAAGAAAAAACAAACCACTGAAGCAATATACTTAGTCAAGCAAAATAAATTCCCACATTGGCTGTATCCAAAAATTACATATCTCGTTCTGCATATAGAGTCTTAAAACCTGAGAGGATTTGGGTAGTATAGTTCATCAGTCTTTCAAAGTTGTTAGTTTTTTCAGGGTTGTGGATGTTGTACAAATTATTCTCCTGGTTCTGCTCACTTCACTCTGTACTAATTCATACAAAATCTTCCCAGGCAGGTTTCTCAGAACCCATCTCTTTCATCATTTCTTACAGCACACAATAGTATTCCTTTACATTCATGTGCTGTAATTTTTCAGCTATTCTCCAATTGATAGGCACACCCTTTCCATTTCTTTGCACCCATTAGATCTTAATATTAAAAAATAGCTTGTTTCCAAAGGGTTTGGTACTATGCTATCATTTTGTGGCTGTCCTCTCTGGCATTAGGGAGTCCCTTCTGGGTTCCCCTGTTGACACTTGCTGTCTACAACTGGGGTCACAGTCTCTCCAGTGTTAAGTTCTTGTCCAGGCACCCAGTATATGTCTAAAGAAAAGCCTGTGGACCAGCCGGAAACATTAGGGAAAACAACCCCTTAATAAGTTTGGGTGCTAAGAATAACAATAGGAATCATTTCAATGCAAAGCTTTTCGAAAGTTAGTCCAGCTGTGTCCCCCCAAGAATATTTTGTCTACCACCAGCTTGTTTTTTCTCTTCGATGAAATTGCCAAAATGACATCATGCCCAGATCCCTGGTATGCAAATCAGCCAGCTCCAGGGAGGCCATCCAAAATCAGAGTGCAAGAACCCCACTCTCAGAAGGGCACTTTGGAGCACACCTTCCTGCTGAATGGACCCGTTTCTATGCTCCCCAGCACGGCACTGTTCCCATGTGACTTATTCTCTGTTAATGTGTATGCCTGAGTTATATACTAGGTTCCCTTTTCTTCTCTCTCCTCTCTTCCCCAGTAAAAGGTTGGTTTTGAAGAAGAGAGACTTTAGCTGTTATAGGAAGCTTTGGGATAGTAAAAGTGTTCTGCAGTTTCCCAAAAACAATCCAGCCTGCTCTTTTTCAATTCTAGGCCCAGCCCATTTGTTCTATGTTGTCTGTCCCACATATTCATACTGTTGGGAAAAAACTCTATAGGTTGTTTGTTGAAATGTGGTCACCAGGCATTCTTCATCCATTTGGTCTTTCCTGTGTGTATTGACAACCCAAACACTTTTAAATGATCTCTTCCAAAAGGTTCTGTAATGTGTCATGATATGTTAAGAACAGTGTCAGGAGTGCTAGAACTCAATGAAATGAATCTGACAAGGATTGACTGAGAAAAAGGTTATGTTTGTTTTGGTTTTTTAACTATATTGAGAAAAAGAATAAAACAAGATATAAGATTGCTATTAAAGGTGTCTGGGACATTATAGGACATGAGAAGCTTCTGTTTTCTCTACCAAAGGGAATAATATTTAGACTAGAAAGGACTCAACATGTAATTTCATTGATATGCAATTTAAAGTCTTTGAGGGCTACTTAGAGCACTGAAAAGTTTAGTGACTTGCCCAAGGTCACACAGCTAGAATGTGTCAGAAGCAGGACTTAACCCCAGGTCTTTCAGTCTGGTGTTCATGGACCTTAGATGGCACAATGAAAAAGGCTAGTAAGAAGCTGAAATTCAAGATGGATAAGGAGGCAGTTAAAATCACCTACTATGGTATTACTAGGTCTCAAGATAGATAAGGAGGCAGTTAAAATCACCTACTATGGTATTACTAGGTCTCAAGATAGATAAGGAGTCAGTTAAAATCACCTACTATGGTATTACTAGGTCTCAAGCTATATTACAAAGCAGCACTCGTCAAAAGTATTTGGTGCTGAGGTGATGGATTGAAGACGAGAATACATGTATATTTTTGAGGCATGGACAAAATGGGAATTTGTTTTCCTTTGTGCTTTTATTACAAATCTTTTTGAAAATTTTTTTTCAGTTTTGAGTGGGAGAGGATAGTAGTGTGAAGAAGACTAGGAATAGGACCCCTTCTCCCTCCCCCCAGAAGAAAAGGCATATATCATGGACTTTGTAAGTGTGCCAAGTAGAGGAGGAGGAAGGCCAGAGGAAATCGAGGCAGCTTTGAAAGTCCATGCTGAATTTTTTTTAATTACTCAAAAAGAAAATCAAGCAATACATAAGACATTGTTTCATATGCAATCCTCTTTTTCCGTTTTATGGTGTATTGTTTTATTTCATGTTTGTGACTTTAAAATAAAATCAAATATGGATAGTTAAAAAACAGTGGTGCTGGTTGAAAAAACAGAAAAGTAGATTAGTGTAACAGAAGTAATTGAAAACAATAGCCCCTCACTTGATGGACCTAAGAACACATTTTTGAGGGACGGGCTTCCTATTTTACTTTATTTTATTTTTTAATTATTAATTAAATAATTTAGTTTTCAACATTCACTTGCACAAGATTTTGAGTTTCAAATTTTCTCCCCATCTCCTCCCTGCCCTGCCACCCTAAGAAGGCAGCAGGTTTCCTATTTTAAAAGAACTGTGGGGAAAACTCAAAAGCAATCTGGCAGAAAAGAGATTTAAACCAATAGCTTATACCATATGCTGCAAATATTCAAAATAGCTGACCATAAAATATTATTTAAAATTTTTATTTTTAAATTTTATTTTTATTTTTAAATTTTAAATTTAAATATTATTTCATATTATTAAAAATAAGAAGGCAGGTCATATTAAAGGTCATGTTATTAAAAAGATCATATTATTAAAAATAAAAGAAGAGCAAGTACTTTTCATGAGTATAGTAAGGGGTAGGAATTTTTAACTAAAGGAGAGCTTTAGAAATCATTTTTAAAAATACACTTTTTTCACTATATAAAATTTTTAATTTGCTTTAAACCTTCTAAAGATTTTGTGTAAGTTAATGAAGACAGAATAAGAGAAGCTGTAAAGTAGGAAAAATGTTTTCATCAAATATCACCAAAGTCTGATATCCATAATATGTAAGATATTGATATGAATATATAACACTAAGCCATATCCCAATAGACAAATGGACAAAAGGATATGGAAAAAAAAACCTGTGATAAAGCTGTGAATTGATTCAAGTATTTTGGAAAGTAATTGGAATAATTCTAAGAAAGTGACTAAAATATCCATGCCCTTTGACCTGGAGATCCCACTGCAAGGCATATATCCCATATATTAGTTTGTCAGTAACAAAAAGAAAGTCCCTATATACACCAAAATCTTTGTAACAGCACTTTTTGTAGTCTCAGGGAAACAAAGTAGAAACCGATTGAGGAATTGAGGAATGACATGGCTAAACAAATGGTAATACATGAATGTAATGGAATCTTATTACTGCTACAACAAGAAACAATGAGCTTCAGTGATAAATACTGAGAAGCGTGCAAAGATGTGAACTGATGCAGAGTGAAGTAAGCAGAACTGGAAAAGCGATATACACAACGTCTATAACAATATAAGTGGAAAGAATGACAATAGAATAACAGAAATTGAATGTCATAAAACCTAATAACCAAACCTGGACCCAGAGAAAAGATATGAGAAAACACTTCCCTGGCTTCTTTGCAAGAGATTCACAGATATAGAAAATCGCACATGTGCTGGCTGGTTGAGCTGAATTTTTTTTTCTTTTTCCCCTTTTAAAAAGTCTTTGTCATTTCTGAGAGGGGTTAAGGAAGACATATGGAGGGAAATATAGGTGATACAATTTTTTTTAATCAACACAAATCTACTAAAAAGATAGAAACGTGGAGTGAGGTGTTGTTTTTTTAACATTCTCCTTTGAAAGAATAATTATAAGGGCAGAGAGAGAACATGATGCACGCATTTATAGCATAAAAACCAAAGCACACAAATCTGTGAAGATAGAAAAAAAAAGTTAAATTTAAAATAAAACTGAATGAGACACAACAAACAATTTGTTCTTTAAATTGTGCTCTTTTGTTTTCCCAAATTGGGACTTCAAGGCTGTCTCACTCTCCAAAGCAGCTGTTCCAAACCTCCTTATTTCTCTTCAAGCCTCCCATGGCACCTCCTTCCTCTAACCTCTCAGCTGAAGACCTTGCCTCATATTTCACTGAAATAATTGAAGCCATCAGCTGGGAGCTCTCTCTTCTCTCCTTCTCCTCATATATTCCTCTGACATCTTCCCTCACTATCTCCTTCAGTCCCTAATGAAGAGGTGACCTCTCTTGCCAAGACAATCCCTTCATCTCATCCCCTCTTGTCTTCTCCAAACGTTATCACAACTATAATCCCCATTCTCTTTTTTATTTTCAATATTTCTTTGGGAAACTTGATAATATTAATGTCTTCCAAACCACCAGACCTGCTTCCAGCCCAGTCCCCATAGCCATCACTGAAA